TTACATAAAAGGGTACGGTCTTTTTTTTTTAGTTTTATTCATTTCAAACGGGCTGCGCGGGCTGTAGTTTGCCCACGGCTGCCCTAACTGCTCTCCCCTGCCGACCTGATCGCTCCTAACTGCCTCTGCCTTATCCCTGCCAGCATGGCTTTGACTGGAAGGATGTTCGGAAGGTCATCTGGAAGATGTCTGGTCTAATTAGCATATTACCCTTTTATTAGTATAGATTCTCACAATACTACCAGATTGGGCCTCCCATCACCCCACTTGCAGAATGAAAAAGGAAGCAAAGTTGGGTGTCCTCCCCATGTTCCCACGGCCTGGAAGTGGCGGAGACCGGATTTGAAGGTCGCAGGCTGGCCCCGAGGCCACACTAGGCTTCTTAGCCTCTGGCTTTTCATGCCGGTTCGTAGAGCCGTGGGACAAGGCGGGAAGAACTGGAGCTAAAGCCTAGATGTGAGTCCTAATTCCACCTCTGACCAGCGGTGTGACCCGGCGCCAGCGACCTCGCCTCTCTGAGTCTCATGCCCACTTGCAAAATGGGAACTGTAATGAGACCGTCAGCCTTCAGTGATGCTGCGACGAGCTGTCAAGAAGTAGCATCTGTGCCAACCAGCGTGGCTCAGGGGTTGAGCATCACCCTATGAACCAGGAGGTCACAGTTCCATTCCTGGGCAGAGCCTATGCCCAAGTTTCGGGCTTGATCCCCAGTAGGGGGCGTGAAGGAGGCAGCCGATCGATGGTTCTCTCTCATCATTGATGTTTCTATCTCTCTCTCCCTCTCCCTTCCTCTCTGAAATCAATAAACATATATTTTAAAAAGAAGGAGGAAGAGGAGGAGGAGGAGGAGGAAGGAAGGAAGAAGAAGGAAGAAGAAGGAGGAGGAGGAGAAGGAGGAGAAGGAGAAGAAGGAGAAGAAGAAGGAGGAGGAGAAGGAGGAGGAGGAGGAGGAGGAGGAGGAGGAGGAGGAGGAGGAGGAGGAGGACCACCTGAGAACGGGCTCAGGAAGCTCTGGAATGCTCTGTGACCTACACACCCTTGTTACGACCATTGGAGGGAATTAATTCTATAACCTGCTCCCCTCTCCTGAATTTTCCTCCGCATCCAGTGGTGCGGATGATCTGGAACCAAGGGCTGGTCTACAGATGGCTGAGAGTTCAAAGGTCGTAGGCAGGCACATTGGGGGATCAGCTATCCTGGCGGCAGCCGTGCCCGGGCCCCTGTGTGTGCACAAAGATAAGCTCCATCTGTTGATTGCACAGGAAACGATGGCACTGAAGGAACAGGCCTCTCCCGTCCTTTTAACAGTGAAAAGCAGTGGTTTCCCCCACAGCCCAACCCAAGATCAGGTGACCCCTCTGCCTGGGCGGCCCCTCTGACTGTCCTGCCTCCGCCCGCAGGTCAGCGCCCTGCAGCAGGGCTACAGCCAGGTGCTGTGCCAGACCCTGTCCGAGAGGAACTTGGAGATCACCTCCCTGAAGAGCGAGGGCGAGAACTTAAGGAGGGACAACGCCATCACCTCAGGTGCGCTCTCCCCGGGCTCGGGCCCCAGGGCTGCCCCCTCCGCTCACCCCAGGGCCACAGCCGCTGCCCCTTCCTCTGGGGGCGGGCCTTCGGCAGGGGGGTCAGTGGATTCCCCATTGCCCCTGAGGGAGGCTTATTGCCATCCAGTTCCTGGGGCGGGGCCTGCTAAATATTTGAGTGAATGTGACCTCTTAGCTGGAAGGTCTGCTGAGCCCTGGGCTCCCCACGAGAACACAGGGCGCCGTGGGGCTGGGGCAGCTCCATAAGCCACCTGGCCCTGGACACAAACTAGAATGTGGGCCCCGTGGGGCCACCGCTTTAACACGAGGGCTGAGTGAGGACGTTCTTCTAATTGACTGACAGGGGTGGTCCCACCCTAAAGCCTGGGGGTGGAGGAGGGGCAGCCAGTGCCTGGGCCAGGGCACAGGACTCTTAACCAGGGCTCCTTCATTCCTTTCACACGTTTATTGAGCACCTACTAGGTGCCAGGACCTGTCCTGAGGCTGGAGAGAGAGCCCTGGGCAAGCGTCAGGTCTCTGAAGTCATGGGGCTCACATCTGGGAGTGGGTGACGGACAAAAATAAGTAAACGTGAATAAACCAGCCCATTTCAGAGAAAACTGGGCAACGTGGTGGCAGAGTGCTTCAGGGGTGAAGCAGAGGGAGAAGAGCTTCGTGGGTGGGCAGGACAGGTCTCGGAGGAGGTGAAGGAAGAGCAGAGAGCACCGTGCAGAGGCCCTGAGGCTGGGCGAGCGGGCCGGGTGGGGGGCGCGGAAGGCCCATGGGGCTGGAGTGGTGGAACCAGAGCCCGTGGGGCTGGGCATGGTCAGGCGGGAGGCAGGCCTAGCTCTAAGGGAGGAGTCTGGGTCTCGTTCTAAGGGCGCTGTGGAGCCATTGGAGTTTTTTAAGCAGAAAATAAGATGCCTAGAGACTGAAGAGGATGGTCAGTCACCAGGAAAAAGGGAGGGAGAGAAGCAGGCATTGAGTCTGGGGCGGGGCTATTATTCTTTCTTTTAACATTTTTATTGATTTCAGAGAAGAAGGCAAAGGGAGAGAGATAGGAACATCAGTGATGAGAGAGAATCATTGATGGGTTGCCTCCTGCACACCCCACACTGGGGATCGAACCCACAACCTGGGCCTGTGCCCTGACCAGGAATGGAACCCTGACCTCCTGGTTCATAAGTCCACGCTCAACCACTGAGCCACGCCTTGGGGCTGTTGTTATTCAAGTGCCGTACACAGCATAGGCTGGGCCATGTGTGAATCTGTGTGCTGTGCCCAGGGCCAGCCTGACCGCTGGCTTTTCCTCGGCCTCACTCTTTACACACTCACACCCATGTCCTCTACCCCACGCCACCCTGCCAGGCCTCCGCTTATGCTCCCCTCTAACCTGGAATATCCTAAGACATTTGCTGAGCACCCTGTACGGGCCAGACACTGCTCCGAGCATCAGGAATATAAAGATGAACTCGCTGAGCCCTTGCCTCCCCCCCCCAATATCTGCTCATCAGGCCTCATCCACGCTTCAAGCCTCTCTCAGATACCACTTTGTTTGGTCCCCCCAGACCACCAGCATCGGTCATGCCCTGAGTCTCGGGCCCCCACCCAGACCTCTGAATCAGAGGCCCTGCACATCAGCAAGATCCCAGCTGTTCTGTGTGCACATCCAAGACTGAGCCGCAGGGGCTGGGTTATGCCGCAGTAACAAACAGCCCCCACCCATTCTCAGTGGTCCACGTTGGCTGATAGCAGAGGTGATGACAGGAATCCTTGTTGCCTCTTTGACCTCAGTGAGTCTTTTGTGGGTTGTTTGCTTTTTTACACAGGGATGGTGTCCTCTTTGCAAAAAGATGTGATAGCTAAGGATGAGGAAGTTCAACAACTTAAGCAGGAGGTGAACCAACTGAAAAGTGAGAACAAAGAGAAGGATCTCCAGCTGGAAGCCATCAGCTCCAGAGTGAGTGTAGCTCTCAGGCAAAGAGGAGACTGGTCTTCTCGCTCATCCAGCCGCCTCTGACACCTTGGTGAGATGAGGCCGATGAGATGAGGGAGGAGGGAGGATGGCTGTGGTGAGTCACCTGGGAGGACTGGAAGCTGGGGGCCAGGTTCCTTGCAGCTTTTCAAAAAACACATTTGTGTCCCCAGCCCACATAGCTCAGTGGTTGAGCATCGACCTATGACCCAGACGGTCCCGGTCGATTCCTGGTCAGGGCACGTGCCCAGATTGTGGACTCAATCTCTGGTGGGGGCTGATTCTCATCGTTGATGTTTCTACTTTTCTCTCCCTCTCCCCTCCTCTCTGAAATCAATAAAAATACATATATATATATATATAAGAGTGCATTTTTGTGACTCAGAATAAACGAGGTATTTTTGAATCCAGCATACGTTTTCTAACGCCTATTACAGGTTAGTTTGTTGAATCCCAACAACCAACACCTGGAGTGTCCAACAGCAGGAGACGGCTTTATTGTACTGTGTGCACCCAGGAAATACTACGTAGCTCTTAAGACCAATGATGAAAGCTTTTGTCTATGAACTGGGAGAACAGGAAGCATTTAAGATTTTTAAATGTGAGCGGTATGACTTCAGTGTGAGATATGAATACGCAGCGTGCCCTGCCGCTGCGAGGCTTACCATTAAGGCAGAGCAGGCTCTCTCCGTGGGCCAGGGGGGCCGCACGCACGGGCTTCCTCGCGGCCCCGTCACCACGGTTTTCACAGCCGCCTTCACAGCAGAACGTCTGAGGGTCCGGATGCAGACGTGTGACCCGCACTCCGGCCCTTGGGCTTCAGTGTGGGTGAGAACACCTCTGGGCAGGATGAGCCTGTAGGCACGGTATGAGCTTTGTGGATGTAACTGACTGTTTACTAACTTTGCCTTCAAATCCTCATCCGATAGGGTAAGATTTCGTAGTGTTTGTATGACTTGCCTGTTTCGATGAGTCAAGGTAAAACCTCATAGCTTTCATCTCGGCAGGCAACTCTGATTCCAAGCGGCTGCCTGGTCAGCCAGCGATGTCTGCGCGGGTGCCGGGCGGGAACAGACCGTGACGTCCCGGAGACAAGGCAGACGGGACCTCTGGTGCTTAGCACGAGGCCCAGTTTGGAGCTGGCGAACGGCAGAGCCTGATCAGGCTTTGGGGTCAGAGGCCAGGGTCCAACCCCAGAGCTTGCTGCTTTTGTAACTTAGCTGGCCTCCATTTCTCCATCTGTGAAATGGGGACAACAAACTCTTTTTCTGAGGATTGGGAGGCTGGTTTTAACTCTGTCCTCTGCCTCTGCCCCCAGTCGGCCGCCCTGCCAAGCTCCTGCCTCTGTTTCTTCCCAGCACGTTGATGTCCTAGGCGCCTGTGATCAGCTTTGTGTCTTGTGTGTGTGTGTGTGTGTGTGTGTGTGTATGTGTGTGTGTGTGTGCGCACACACGCCTGTGTGTGCTGGGGAGGGGTGCGTGTACACTGATGCTAAGTAAGAGAAAGATGGAAAAACAGCGCCTGTCAGGCTAGTCTACTTCCTGACCCCATTTCCCCTTCATCCTTGACCTTGGGATGAGGGCTGCTTCTGCTCCAGCCCGTGCCGGCCACCAGCACGTAGGCGGCTCCTCACCGGGGGGTCACTCCCAGGAACATCGGGGTGCATGTTGTTGTTTAAATTATGTCTGTCATAGTGTTGACTTTAGAAAAATAAGTAGATGGCATCAAAAAGCAAAATTTTATAAAGAAGAAAGGAAATGCTACCCTAAGAAATCAACATTATTACTTAATGTATACTCTCCTAGTGTTGTTTTTATATGTCACCTAGAAGTAAATCAATCATGTGTTCATATCTCACAGTGAATTAACACCATGCACATTGAAAAATCTTAGATGCTTACTATTTCCCAACGTTAATAAATAAAAGCTTATACCATTGGTCTTAAAAGCTACATAGTATTTTCCTGGGTGTACACAATACAATAAAGCGGTCTCCTGTTGTTGGACACTCGGGAGGGGGGGGTTGTTTTGTTTTTCAATGTTGCTAACAATGCTGAGAAGACGCCCCTGAATCTACAGATTCGCTGATTTCCCTGGTCAGTGTCCTCAGGACACGTTGCTAAGGCAGGGACTTCTGGGTCAAAAGGAGGACGTGCCTTTCTGCTCTTACCGCCTGTTGCGGAACTGCCCTCCGAAAGGCTGCTCCCTTTACCCCCTCCCCCACGGCTTCCCCCCACCCCCCCCAATACACCAGGGCAGTTATGTCTGTGAGGTGAAGCCTGCAGAAAGCACCGAGAGCCATCCAGGTTCACCACCAAGTTCACTATGAGCCCCACCCCGTCCATGTGCTCCTGAAAGCTGTGCTCGGAGGGTCCCAGAGGGGAGAATTCCCCTCCCTCCACCCTAAGTGCCCAGACTCGGCTAAGCCTGGTTTCTCCTGTGGCGCAGCCCGCTGGCTCTTGAAAAAGAACTGAGACACTTTCTTCCTCGGAACTCACGAGCAGGGTGCCCTGGGAACTACCGCAGATCCTAGGCATCCACGGGACACGAATGGCCTGGCCCTGGGCGTGTGGGGTGTGATGGGATTAGACAGCAGCACAGGCTCTGCGAGGCCCCCGTGGGGACCTGGGACCCCGGACAACCCCCGTGGCCTGTGGCCCTTCTTTCTCCCACAGTGCTCAGTGCTCAAAGAGGCGTTAGAGAAGGAGGACGCGCAGAAGGAGCACCGGGAGGCCCAAGAGAAAGAGCTGAAACTCAGCAAATCCGTGAGTTGAACTCCCTCCCTCCTGGGCGCCCGCCGAAAGGCGCTGACCTCCAGGCTTTGGCGAGAGCACAAACTCTGGGGTTCTGTGACGGTTCTGGTGACGGCCCCCTCCTCCCTCTTTGGTTCGCTGCCTCTACGACATGGGTGGGAAGACCCTGGAAAACACACGCTCCCAGCATCCCCTGGGCGTGGGCTCCACCCGCCTCACCGGTTTCTCTTAGAGCTGGGCTGGGGTGGGGGTGGGGGAGGGGACAGGGACGGGAGCCGGCCAGGTGGCCGCCACATGCTGCCAAAAGTCCACTGTGGCTCCTGCCCCTGGACCTGTGATGCCCAAACTACTATGTCCCACCGTCTCACTTTTGTCACTATCACCAACCCCAAAATCCTTCCTGCAGTAACTTTACACCAATGCATAAAAGCAAAACAAAAAGGCATGGTGTGCGTCTACAGAAGGCGACTATTAAAGATGCAGGGAAGGACCACGAAAATGAAAGCGTTCATTTCCTGGGCCCATGGGAGCCTCTCCCACATCCGCAGGCACAGTTTCAGTTGGGGGGACGCACAGCGCCTCCAACACAAGGGGGGACGCGCCCTTCCCCGTGTGGGGAGCGTCCCGCTCTCTGCCCCAGTGGGAGAAAGAAAACACGCGTTGTGTGGTTCTTCCAAACCGTGGCCACTGTGTCTTCCCAACCGCCCTCCTTCCAGTTGATCGCAAAAATATACCCCAAGAGGAAACACCCTCACGAGTTGATGGGTGTCTTGTCCTGTTTCATCCCAGGCTACAAGCTGATTTTCAAACGAAACTAACCATGTTCGATGTATCACTTGGAAAAAAGTCTACTTTGCTCTACAGGCGTAGGCTTTCCCCCCAGGGACGGAGCTTAGCTGGTCCCCGGTTAGGTTTTCGCCTTAATGAACCCGGTGGAACGAGTTCTGGAGATCCAGCCCTTCCCGCCCAGGAGTCGGGCCCAGCGTGCCGTCAGGGAAGCTGACTTTTGTTGCAACTCTTCCAGCAAATCCAAAACCTGGAGAGAGAAATGAGGATGCTGAGGGAGGAGCTGAAGAAGAATACTTCTGACCAGAGCATGATCTCTAAGACGCTTCGAGAAAAGAGCAAGGTATGGCCAGGGCAGCCTCGGCCCCCTCACCCCTCGGTGCCAGGCGCTCCACGCGCACCCTCTCCTTACAGTGACCCTGTGTGGTCTATCCTGGTATTAACCCCACTTTACAGTTGGGGAACCTGAGGCTCACAGGGGCGAAGGAAGTTTTCAGAGTTCACTCAGGTAAAGTAGCTGCGGCAGAACTTGAATCCAGGTCGGTCTGGCTCCAAAGCTCCTGTGTGCAGCCCCTACCCCCCAGACTGCCTTCAGGTCTTAACTGTAAAATTATCCAGAATCGGTCCATTAAACCAAGTTTGCCCACGATGTTCAAACTGAAATGCTGTTACTGATAGTTCTGTGTGTGTGTTCCAAGAGTCTTTGAGAGAGCTATGTTGTTGTTTTTTTATTTTTATTTTTTATTGCTTAAAGTATTACAAAGGGTATTATATATGTCTCCTTTTTTCCCCCACCCTTGACAATCCCCTAACCTCCCCTACCCCCCAGTGTCTTATGTCCATTGGTTATGCTTATATGCATGCATATAAGTCCTTCAGTTGATCTCTTACCCACCCCCCTTCTGCTCCCCTACCCTCCCCAGCCTTCCCGCGGCAGTTTGACAGTCTGTTTGAGGCAGCTCTGCCTCTGTACCTATTTTTGTTCATCAGTTTATAATGGTCTTTATTATCCATAAATGAGTGAGATCATGTGGTATTTTTCTTTCATTGACTGGCTTATTTCACTTAGCATAATGCTCTCCAGTTCCATCCATGCCGTTGCAAATGGTAAGAGTTCCTTCTTTTTTACAGCAGCGTAGTATTCCATCGTGTAGATGTACCACAGTTTTCTAATCCATTCATCTACTGATGGGCACTTAGGCTGTTTCCAGATCTTAGCTATGGTGAATTGTGCTGCTATGAACATATAGGTGCATATATCCTTTCTGATTGGTGTTTCTGGTTTTTTGGGATATATTCCTAGAAGTGGGATCACGGTCAAATGGGAGTTCCATTTTTAGTTTTTTGAGGAAGCTCCATACTGTCTTCCATAGTGGCTGCACCAGTCTGCATTCCCACCAGCAGTGCACGAGTGTTCCTTTTTCTCCACATCCTCTCCAGCACTTGTCGTTTGTTGATTTGTTGATGATAGCCAGTCTGACAGGTGTGAGATGGTACCTCATTGTTTTTTGATTTGCATCTCTCGGATGATTAGTGACTTTGAGCATGTTTTCATATGTCTCTTGGCTTTCTGAATGTCCTCTTTTGAAAGGTGTCTATTTAGATCCTTTGCCCGAGAGCTATGTTTTTAAAAATCTCATCATGACCGTGGGTTTGTGGATTTCTTCTTTTAATATTGCCAACTTTTGCTTCATATATTTTGAGGCCGTGTACATTTAGAATTTTAATACTTCCCGTTGGAAAAGAGCACACCCTTGGATCATCATAGAAACGTCCCTCTTCATGTCTAGCAGTGTTTCTCCCTAAAAGTCTACGTCAGTGGTTCTCAACCTTCTGGCCCTTTAAATGCAGTTCCTCATGTTGTGACCCAACCATAAAATTATTTTCGTTGCTGCTTCATAACTGTAATGTTGCTACTGTTATGAATCGTAATGTAAATATCTGATATGCAGGATGTTCTTAGGCGACCCCTGTGAAAGGGTCGTTCGACCGCCAAAGGGGTCGCAACCCACAGGTTGAGAACCGCTGGTCTGCGTTGTCACTAATGCAGCTCCATCAGCTACGCGGCCTTTCTGTTGGTTCGGGTTTTCATAGCATATTTTCTTCATAATTTTTCCGTCCATCTTTGTTTTTAAGTTTTTTCTCTCTCTTCTAAATAGCATGACTTTTTATAAAATCCAGTCCCGGTCTTTGTCTGCTAGCCCGTTATATAAAGTGCAATTGCTGGTATATTGATTGGGGTTTAGCTCTACCCTCTCGCTCAGTGCCAGCTGAGCTATATTTCCGTGCTATATTTCCTTTTCTCTCCTTTCTTGGGTTCTTTTGAGTTGATGGTTTTCTGTCATTCCATTTTTGTCCCTGTTTGCTTGGAAATGGTTCGCTCTTTATACTTTTAGAATAGTAAGACAATAGCATTACCCTGGACTTACCAAAATCCAATATTAATTGAGTTTCTTACTCTTTTAGCGCTCGTCCCAAAGGCTGCACTATGCATTCTTGATGTAGTGTCAGTTGATGACTATGCCCTTGTCCTTGTCATGCTGGTGGCAGATTCTTTCAGGTGTGTGTGTGTGTGTGTGTGTGTGTGTGTGTGTGTGTGTGTCTGAAAAACGTATGCGTAACTTTCGTTTTTGACTGAGTTGGCAATGATCTTATTTCAGCACCTTCGAGGTGGCATTAGGTACATCTTTCTAGTGTCTTTTGGTTCCTGGTGTTTCTACTTTGAAGTCATGGTCAAGCCTAATATCGTACCTTTGCGAAAGCTGTTTTTCCTTGGGCTGCTTTTAAGATTCTCTTTTCGCTTGGTTTCCAGCAGTTTGGCGATGCTTTATCTGGGTGTGGGTTTGTGTTTTTTTTTTACCTTGTGTGGTGTTCACAGGGCTTCCCGAGCCTTTGGCTTGGTGTTCTGATTTGTTCTGCACTGGGGGCTACATACCACAAAGGCAGTGAGGAGCTACCGAAGGCCCTAACACCTTTGTGATCAATAATAACTGTGAAAATGACAGCTATAATTTCTCATGTATTAGGCCAAACATTTCATCTCTTTTTAAAAATATTTTTATTGATTTCAGAGAGGGAAGGGAAGGGAGAGGGAGAGAGAGATAGAAATATCAACGATGAGAGAGAGTCATTGATCGGCTGCCTCCTGCACAGCCCCCATTGGGGATCGAACCCGCAACCCGAGCATGTGCCCTGACTGGGAATCAAACCGTGACCTCCTGGTTCATAAGTCGATGCTCAACCACTGAGCCACACTGGCTGGGTTCATCTCCTTTCATCCTCACCGCAACTCTATGACCTAGAAATTACCCTCCCCACTTTACGGGTGAGGGAGTCAAGGCTCCCAGTCACTAGCACAGTAAGTAGCCCAAAGTCGGTCAGTGGCAAAGCCAAGGTTGGGAGCCAGGTTTGTCTGATACCAATGATGGCGGCACAGCCACCAGCCACGTGTGACTGTTCACAATGAAATTTATCAAAATTAAGGAAAATGTAAAATTCAGTTTCTCAGTCACACCAGCCACATCTCCAGTGCTCTGGCCAGGCATGGCTCACAGCTGCCGTGTTAGCCAACACAAACGCGAGGCCGTCCCATCAGACAGAGCTGCTCTACAGCTCGGTAACTCTCAGGACCATGAAGAGTGTTCTGGAAGGAAATGAAAATAGAGGCGAGGAGGCCGGTTATCACAGGCCAGAGGTTCTCAGCGCCTGGCGGGGCCTTGCACAGGGTGGGAGCAGGGGGAGGAGCGGAGGAGCGGCAGTGGGAGGTGACCCCCAGGCTTGAGGCAGGGGTGGGGCTGTTCATTACGGTGGGGACTCCGGACAAGGGCAGAGTCCGGGGTTGGAGTCCGCTTTGTAGTGGGAGGAGAAGTCTGCTGACATAGAAGTCAGAGCACGTTTAGACCCGGGAGGGCTGTTTGTGGAGGAAACTAGGCCCAGGGAGCTTGAACGGCTTTTCCAAGTCCACATGGCTGGTGAGAGACGCTTCCGCTGGACCCCGGGTCAGACGTGAGCTGTGAAGGGCTCCTCTGGCTCTTTTATTACATCTGCGTGACCCTCCCCCGCCTCAGCTCCCGAATAAACAGCTGTGGAGCTTTTCAGTACAAAACCCTCTCATTTATTTAGCAGAGTTTGCCTCATTTCCTGATAGTGCCAGAGCCCTGGGCTCAGCACGTGCTCCCAAAATGTTCATTGTTCCACAATGAATTGAGCAGCTGCAGGGTCCCGTGATGGCCAGCAGAGGGCAGCACCGGGCACTCCCAAGCTCCCCTCCAGTTGAGGGGGAATGAATCTGCTCGCTTCTCTGCTGTAAACACCACCTCTCACAGGCTGTGATCCATTGCCAAGCAAGCCTCCCAGAGTGGGTCCCAGAACCCTCGTAGGAAGTACTGCCCTAGGCTAACCACTGCGAGTCCCCACGATGCCTCTGTGAGGCGGTACTGGTGTCCTCATTCCCATTTGACAGATGAGAACACTGAGTCACAGAGCAGGGAGGTAACTCTCTCAGGGTCCTAGGGCTCGTTAGGGGCTGAGCTGGGATTGGAGTCTGCGGTTAAAAAAAACACAGCGATGAGCCCAGGATGCAGAGCTTGGCCCTTTCCCCTAGGAGCCGGGTGTACCCCGGGGCACGCCCGTGACCCCTGCAGCCGCCCCTCCCCCTCTGGGACTCCCCGGGCCATTAGCCCTCCTGGAGGGATTTCCCAGAGTGCATTATGACCACATCAGCAGCAAGTGCCTGCTTTCATCGCCCTTTCAGGTTGAAGAGAAGCTTCAGGAGGATTCCAGAAGGAAATTGCTTCAGCTCCAAGAAATGGGGAGCAGAGAGAGCCTCATTAAAGTCAATTTGGAAAGGGCAGTAGGTCAGGTAGGCATGCAGCTCCAGAGCCCCTCCGTGGCCCCGTTCCCCAGGGGTTGTCCGCGCCCAGTGGCTGGTGGGAAGAGTGAGGAGGAAGGCGGCTGTGGTCTGCTTCTCCCAGCGACCTCCTGGGCCGCAGCTTCACGTGGCTCCTGCCTCCCCGTGGACGTCCCCGGGGCCATTCCCTGCTGGGAGCCGCCCACTCCGGGAGTTCGCTGTCCCCCGAGACCCCGGCCACAGCCACCCTTCAGTGCCCGCCCCCATTAACCAGTGCCCGCTGTTCCCTCTTGGGAAGGGTCTGCCCCTCTTGTCCCCAACAGTGCTGCTAGTACTTCTCCCTGACATTTTCATCCTGACATTCACCACTCCCCTCCCTCCTCTCGGCCCCCAGCAGAGGTCCCGTCAGTGTCCACGAGGAAGTGCCACTTTTCTTAAGAAAGTACAGCTCATGCAGACGGAGACGACCCCGGGCAGGGTGGTGAGCAGGCTGCCCGGCTGGTCTGGGTGCCTGTTCTGCCTGGATGGCCCGTGGCCCCTCCCCTGACACGTGGCACCGCGTGAGGGCCAGAACATGCAAATGAGGCTTCACCAAAGGCTAAGCGAGAGCCAATGGGAAGCCGGGACAGGGGCACTGAGCCTCCGGGATGTGGCCCACCAAGGGCAGCCCACCGGGGGCTCCCCCTCAGGGCCCCTCCTGGCAACCACGGCTCGAGGGCTTCCGAGAACGTTTAGCGTGCACACGTGTTTGTGCTTTTTTCCCTGGGAGGAAGGGTCCAGCATGCTGCTCCGTGGATTCTCAGAAGGGTCTGTGAACCCCAAAAAAGGTGAAGAACCGCGATCCTAAGGGTCCTTCCATCCCACCCAGCCCAGCCCCTACGCCAGTGATGGCGAACCTTTTGAGCTCAGCGAGTCAGCATTTTGAAAAACCCTAACTTAACTCTGGTGCCGTGTCACATATAGAAATTTTTTGATATTTGCAACCATAGTAAAACAAAGATTTATATTTTTGATATTTATTTTATATATTTAAATGCCATTTAACAAAGAAAAATCACCCAAAAAAATGAGTTTGCGTGTCACCTCTGACACGCATGTCTTAGGTTTGCCATCACTGCCCTATGCCCTCCCCTCGGGCAGCGTCCCAGCCTGACCCGCAGTGTGGCCGGGCTTCGTCAGAGGCACACAGTTCATGATGGTGCTGACTCCCGGGCAGATTTCAAAGCTCCTTCAACAAACGTCACCACCGTCACCCCAGGGTCACTTTTCCTGCAGGGACTGACCCCCTAGCGAGGGCAGAGAGCTTGCCCGTCTGGGCTTCCCCTGTGCACCTGGGCTGCCCCTCCCCGCTCCTGCACGCTGCACGCCCAGCGCCCCTATGCAAGGGCATCACCTGAGCCCCTTGCCCAAGTGCCAGGGTCCAGGTTATGACTCCAGGAAGCAGTCACCTGGGAGAGGACCCCGAGAGACACTGAGGTTCCTTCCGGTCTAGACTCAGCAAGGAGGAGCCCCTCTCTGTCCCCAGACTCCCCAGCCCAGCCCATCTCCACGTCCTGCTCTCTCTCTCTCAGATCCACCCTCCCCCAGGCAAGTGATCCAGGACACAGCCCAACGCCCAGGAGAACCTGTCCCTCCACGCTGCGCAGTCCTACAGGGCCCTCTGCTGGCGGTGGGGCCGTCACTCAGGGCCTCTCCACATAGCCTCCTCCTCCTCCGGTGAAAGGGGGCCTGCCCTTGGCTGTGAAGCCAGAGGAGGGCATGGGGCGCCCAGGCACCCCAGTCGCTGCTGCAGGCCGCCCGCCCGCAGGGATGTCCTCAGGAGGCCTGGCTCCCAGAGCTCCGCGGTGCGCAGGGCACGCCTGTGTCTCAGGCCCGCTGACCTTCAGGCTGATTCAGCGGCCCTTCCGCCCCTTCAGGACTCTGTCTTAGGGTCTTCCATGGCCAAACACCCAGGCCCAGGGCCACCACACTGGGAAATTCCCAGATAAACTCGGGCTCCTTTGCCTCTGCCTTCACATGGAACCTGGGGCCCCTTGAACTTGCAGTTCCGTAAGCCCTGATTTCATGTAACTGTGCTGTTTCCTCAACCGTCATCGGAAAGCGCCAGCCCCAAGGAGGCCCTCGAGAGCGGGCTGGACCGAGCAGAGGCCCCTGTCTTGGACAGATGTCTCTGCTCACAGCATTCAGTGAGCGTTCACTGGGTGTCTACTCTGTGCCAGGCCCTGTGCCAGTCGCTGGGGACACAGAGAGGAACACGATGCCCAGGGTCTTCAGGGCGCGAAACGGCAGGAGGGAGTGAATCCCTCGGTCCCCAGGCACCCCTGTGTGACAGTTTCCGGGGGCTGACAGCCTCCATATTTATTTCACAGTCTGGGGCCGGCTTAGCAATCACGGCAGAGCGCTCCCGGCCCCAGGCTCCCCACTGCATAATCGGCAGCAAGTGGCTCTTCTGGGTCAGGCAGGCAGGCCGAGGAAGTAATTAAAACCGGCTGCTCACTTCCTCCTGTGGGCACTGCCCCTTCCAGTGAGCAGTGAAGACCTTAATACCATGGCCTGGCCATCCAAGGCGCTCAGGCCCCCCTAACTGACTGATTTCTCCTGGCCCCCACGGCCGGCCGGCTGCAGCTGCCCCCCCTGACTCAGTTTCCTTCTCTTTGTGCTGCAGCTGGAGCATTTCAGGAGCCAGGTCATCAGGGCCACCTTCGGGCGAGCCAGGCCGTTCCAGGACAAGCCCGTCACTGACCAACAGGTTCGTCAGCCCTTCACGCTTCCTTCCCGGGGACCTGGGACTGCAGACGCTGGGAGCATATGTGCCCGGGTTTTGTTGGTGGCACACATTGTTCACACTGCTGCCACCATCAAGATTGTTTAGATTTCATGGGGTTTCCTGGCTTTCCCAGTAAAAGCCAGTGAAACGCCCTTGAAATGTTTCTGTGAACATCAAACCAAATCGCTCAGGGTGATTCTGGTCACCAGACGCGCAGGGATAACCCGGGTTAGCACCCTCGTTAGCATCGTGAGAAAGGGCTGCCTCCCTCAGACAGACAACGCCTGTCCCTTCTGGAGATGGAGAGGTGAGGACGGACTTCTGGCTGCTGGAGGCCTTGTTCGTTCCCGGTGATTCTTCCCCACGCTCTGTGCTGGCCTCCGGGTAAGGGCACGTGGCTCTCGGCCTCAGAACAACCCGACCCTCAGCATCAGGTTGTGTTATTAGTCGCTCCTAAAGGGCAGAACAATCTAGAACAAGTGAATGGCAACAATGCAGGCCTTGGGATCTTCAAAACCCTCTCGGATCCCAGGAAACACGTCCTGGTGACAGCGCCGATGGCGGCCGCCAGAGCCATCGCCCACGCCTGGCAGGACGGCCCTCGCCACCTGCAGAGACGGGGTGGCGCTCCCAGCTCCCTCCTCCCGGAGCCCCCCTGTGTTTTAAATCTTTTTTTTTTTTGTCACCAGTTAATAGAGAAGATCATCCAGGTCACGGAGGACAGCGCCAGCTTCCAGCAGAAAAAGTGGAGCCTGCAGAAGGAGAGCCAGCTCAGCCACTCCAAGCAGGAGGCGCTGGCGGACAGCATCGAGAGGCTGCGGGCGGCGCTGGACAGCTGCCAGGTGGCCCTGCCTCCCACAGTGTCCCCTCTGTCGGTGCCCGTGCCGCTGGCACGGGAGCCTGTCCGGCCTCTGTGGAGAAGGTCGGGCAGGGTGCTCTGCTGCTGTGCCCCTTTTCCTCTCCTGGGAGAAACGCTTTTGGGAGCAGAGGGCAGAGGACCTCAGAGAATGCCCCCGGGCGGGGTGGGGGGGCCCAGGAAGAGAAGAGATGCCTGCACTCTGAGTACCTCCGCGGGGAGGTCGCGGACCCCGGGGGGGGGGGGGCAGTAAAAGAGCCCCGTGTTTTCTCCAGAGAAATCAGAGGAACAGGCCTGCCCTTTAGCTGCTCTTCCTTGGGGCCCAGCCACCGAAAGGCTGTTCGTAGCCCTGGTGCCTCACCGGAGGTGGGGGGCCTTCTCTCTGCCCAGGGCCATTGGGATACTTATAACATCGTTCCCGGGCCGTACAAAACCACCAACTTAAAAACCAGCCTGCTATGTTTGGTCAAACCATTAACTCACCCCTAATGCCTTGGTAGGGCCAGACCAAATGATTTCTCGGGCCCCTGCCATAGCCTGTGGAGGGGGCGGGCCCACGGGATCTGGCCCAGCCCCCGGGGCCCCACTTGGGGAGAAGGCAACTGCCTGTGTCTCTGGAAATCAGCTGCTACTATTTGGGGAGTTTGTGCAAATGTTAGCGTGTCAGCTCTTTCAAATCAGGAACCGGCACTTTCTGACCAGCTTATGTGTTGATCTCAGCAGGAATTTTGACGAATAAAAATAGCCAAATTCAGTTCTCATTTCAGCCTATTGTCCTTGGCAATTTGGCTTTGAATTTGAATAGACCCAAGTGGGGTTTCTTTGACCACCAGAAGTCCAGGTTAGAGTGCAAACAAAATAATGCCCCCCGCCCTAACCGGTTTGGCTCAGTGGATAGAGCGTTGGCCTGCTGACTGAAGGGTCCCGGGTTTGATTACGGTCAAGGGCATGTACCTTGGTTGTGGGCACATCCCCAGTGGGGGGTGTGCAGGAGGCAGCTGATCAATGTTTCTGATTCTCTATCCCTCTCTCTTCCTCTCTGTAAAGATCAATAAAATATATTTTTTTAAAAATAATGCCCCCCCTTACGTCCCCCATCCCTCCACCCCACCCCAACTCCACCACCTCCCATCCCCCCACCCCACCCCCACCAAAAAAATTAAGCAACTAAAACTGGACGGGGCCATCCCCAGGCGCTGACATGGGGCCCTGATGCTCCATGGCAAAGTCAAGACGTTCTTCACAGGTGGTGTTGGGTGGGGTTTCTGGGCTCCTCACGATCCATATCTTTCCAGGTGGCCCCTCACCATCCTGTCTTTCCAGGTGGCCCCTTATGATCCTGTCTTTCCAGGCGGCCCCTCACCATCCTGTCTTTCCAGGTGGCCCCTCACCATTCTGTCTTTCCAGGCGGGCCCTCACCATCCTGTCTTTCCAGGCGGCCCCTCACCATCCTGCCTTTCCAGGCGGGCCCCTCATGATCCGTGTCTCTCTGCAGGCGTGCATGAAGACGTCTTGCTGCAGCACCGACCTGAAGAAGGAGGTGGAGCTCCTCCAGTACCTGCAGGTGAGCCCACCTGTGTCCGGGCTCCAGAAGGCGGCGCTGGACATCGTGCGCCTGTCGCAGTCCTGGCTGGAGGATGCCGAGGGGCTCCTCCGGGACGTGGGGGTCCAGCTGCCCGGCTCCGACAAAGGTGACCGGGCCCTTTTTCTCACGTAGCTGCACACTCTACAATGTCGTCTTGAATCCTATCACGAAGGGACATCTGTTGAGAAAGGCTTGTTGGGCGCATGGCCAGGTACCCCCTGCTCCAGACTCGCCTTGCTTCTCCCCTTGAGAAGCAGTTTGCCTTAAGAGAGAGAGAGAGAGAGAGAGAGAGAGAGAGAGAGACAGACATGAGACTTGATTACTGAAGAAAAAATGAGACATGACAAAGGCCAAAGGATAATTAAATCAAAATTGTACTCAATCTTATCTCTCAGCAGTAAGATATACTGTTAAATATATTTTTATATTTACTGTTAAACATATCTTTAATAGACCTTTTTAGGTGTAGTTTTGTTTCACAGCAAAATTTAGAGAAGGTACAGGGATGTCCCATCTGCCCGCTGCCCCTGCCCGTGCACGGCCTCCCTGGGTATCAACACCCTCCACCAGAGGAGCATTTACTACCATTGACGGCCCTGCATGACGCGTCCTCGTGGTCCAGAGTCCGTGGTCTACATGAGGGTTCGCTCTTGGTGTAGTCCGTTCTGTGGGTTGGGACAACTTCATGAGGACAGGCACCTGCCACTGCATATCCGACAGATATTCTCACTGCCGTGCAAACCCTCTTTGTTCAGCCTGTTTATTCATCCCCTTCCCCCCTCCCCCCCCACCGCCGCCAGCCTCTGGCAGCCACTGGTCGTCTTACTGTCTCCATAGTTTTGCCTTTTCCAGAAGGTCATGGAGTTGGTATAGCGTGTTCAGGCCGGCTTCTTTCACTTCATCATAAGCTTTTACATTTCCTCCATGTCTTTCCTGACTCCGTGGCTCATGTCGTCTTAGTGCTGAATGGTATTCCGTGGTCTGGAGGTCCCACAGCTTGTTCCTTCTCCTACGGAGGGAGGGACATCCTGCTTGCGCCCGCGTTTTGGTGATTGTGAGTGAAGCTGCCCTAAACGTCCGTAGGCAGGGTTTGGTGTAGAGTAAGTTGTCAACTCCTTGGGAGAATGATCGAGGAGCGGGACTGCTGGATTGTGTGGGAAGGGTGTAGTTTTGAAGGAAACCACCAAACTTGGAGACGGTCATCTTGGCCATGAGCGGAAAATGCCCTGGAAGGTGGCAGCGCGAAGCAGCAGTGAGGAGGCGGGCACCAGCGATGATGGTGGCTAGCACTGCAGCGGGGGTGGGGATGGAGAAAGCGAGAATTTTATTTGGGGGTCACCATTCTTTATCCTGTCCTTACAGACCCACAGTGCACATTAGTAGAGAAGAGATCTGCAGAGATCTGTTTACTATTGCTCAGGCCTCCAGGCTGTGCCATTAGCTTGGGCAGGGACAGAGCGAGGTGTTTGCGTTCTCTGAGCGAGCCGTATCCGATGCCCGCCCGAGCCAGGCCCAGGGAAAGCCCCTCGCGCATCCCGGCAGGATGGTTCCGAGTCTGCACTCTGGGGACCAGCCACGCTTTGGCTTCCGCTGCGCACTTGCTAGCTGTGTGAGAAAGGCACCTGACTTCTCTGTGCCTCGGTTTGCCTGTTTACAAAACGGGGATAAAATCTCAAAAGGTTGTTGTGAGGGTTAAACGATGTGATGAGCACACACATGGCCGGGCCTGGCTCACGGAGCCTTCATAAATGTGACCTGCCATCGGCCTCAAATACTTGTGGACTTAATGCGGCCACCGGATGGGTGGGAGCACAGGCCACAGCCCGATCTACTCACACGGAGGAGACTGTGCCCGCAGCCCCGCCCCGTCTCCGCTTGGCAGCAGATGAGGTTTTCTTAGCCCTGAGCGCTCAGCTGGGCTGAACCCAAAGAGCACTTTCCAGGCCACCTTCCTGGAGAGATGACAATGGGCCGAGTGTCCCAGCTGCCTCTTGGCAAAGCCGGGACTCAGTCCGGGTCCCTCTGATCTCAGAGCCCCTGCTCTGCACCACCTACCACCTGCCTTTTAGAATGTTGTCCTAAGAGACAAAACGGACCTCACAAGCCAGGTTTGTAAAATCCTGAAATAAATTCCCCGGGAGAATCCCGGGAGAGGGAAGCCCCTTGCATTGTTGGGCGATGTCGTAAGAGGCCCAGAGGTTGGAGCTGCTACGAAAGATCTGATTGGCGGAAGACGGGCCATGTGGTCCCGCTGGGGAGATAGGAAACATCTAAGGAGGAACCTTGAAATTTCGTTCCCCACGCCTCCCACCTGGTTTCTCGGCGCCTCTTGATAAGGGAAAGAACAGACTCGACATGTTTCTTCGCCAGCGCAGTGTTTGTGTCTCCTCCTGCAAGGCTTGGTCACAAACAGAAGGCTTCCCACGTGCACAGGAGTCGCTCTTTCTCTGATATCCGAGCTATGCGGTATTTTTAAGTGAAAATAAGCAAGTTGTAATACAATATGCATAGTGTACTCCCATTTTCTGTTTTTTTTTGTTTTTTTAATGTCAGTATCTGATCAAAAGAAAAATCTGGAAAAAAAAGACAAACCTGTGGCGAGTATTATCCCAGCGTTTATTTAGGGCCTTTACTTTCCCTCATTCCACACTATTTATTGTGCGCCTACTCTGCACCGGCCACTGAAGATACAGCAGTGCGCTTTCCACAGGCGGATTTCAGTAATGTTTGATTTCTGTACTAAGCACATGCAACTTTTGTAACCAGATCTATAAGGAAGAATTGCTCCTTCTCCCAAAGAGAGAAAGCTCGTTTTGATCACTGTTCATCGTTGAATCTAGAAACATAATCACTCACCCTGTCTTCCCTTCAACCTCCTTGACTCCCTCCTGTCCTTAACCCTCTCTGGGTCCTACCCAGGATTTGATCCTTCCCCTGGGGTCCCTGGGTCACAGGTTGCAGCTGAGCACAATCCCAGCCCCAGCCCAATTTAACCACCGCAAATCCGGGCGCGCGCCTGGTTCTTATAGCCCAAGCCAACACCACCCAGGCGGCCTTGCCTCTGTGCCATCGAGGTCTCCTCCCAGCACACCTCTCCCCACACACGCTTCCCGTGAACTGACCCAGCCCTTTACTCTGGAGCCTCCGGTCTCTTTAAAAGAGAAAGACAGACTTGGGTCTGAATTCTGATCCCACCGCTGACCAGACCTTGCTGAGCCTCTGTGTCTCGCCTGTAAATTCAAACACACTTCCTTGCCGGGTTGCTCATAACGATGAGAAAATGTGTGTACACTCCTGGCTCGGTGCCTGGCACACAGCAGGTGCTTCATAGCTGGTAGCTAGTATATTATTCTCACTCTTCCATGATGGAAGTTCTCAGAAAGTTCCATGGACGGAGATCAGGGCCCCCGCACGAGCGTGTTCAGTTCCACATCCCCCTTCCTCCCCGTACTTGCCATTTCTCCCTTCCCTCCACCTTCCCCACCGTGTCCTCCTTCCCTGTGTCCCCCTCCTCTCTCTCCCCAGAGAACTGTGCACGCACGGCCCTGAACTGTGACCCCTGTCTTTGGCGCCTTCCGCCTTTCTTTCACTCCTTTACCCTCAAGCATGCCCTTCCAGGAGGTAATTTTTCTCTGGAAGCCCCTGCCTCTTCAGCTCCCTTTCCGCTACCCGCACCCCTGTCTCACCGATGACCTTGAAGGAGTGTGGCACGCCCTCTGTCTTCACTGCCTGCATCCTGCTTTGTCTTTGCCTCTTGGCTTTGCCCCTGCTGAGTAACCGCCATGGAGCCCTCCCGCCCCGGCCGGCCGCCAGCCTCCCCCGGCCCGCGTTCTCTCTGGCCTACCCAACACGCTTGGTTCTCTATCTCAAAGCCCTCTCACCCTGGGCCCTCCCGGGCCTGGCACACCCGCCTCTCTCCTGATGATCTTGGTTTGTTCTGAGCAGCCCCTTTCTCCAATCCTGTCCCTAGCGGGTGTTTCCTCCAGGGCACCCATTGGTCCTCCTCTCTCACCTCCTTTCTCACGGAGAAACTCTCCGCTCCGCATGCGTCATCAGCCACTCCAGGCAGAGATGGCCAGATGGGGCCCCTGGCCGGGGCCATGTCCACCAGGAGGCCCATGAAGACCCGGGATGAGCTGGGCTGGCCTTGCCAACTGAGCATGCCCAGCTCTCTGCTGACCACCTCTCCTTAGGGTCCTCCCAGCACCGTGTTCTCCTTCAGGCTCTGGACCTTGTCCCTCAGCCTGAGCCGTCAGCTCACGGCTTTGCACACGGTGGGTACTCAGTCAACAGGTGATCCGTGGACGGCTTTTCATCTGCCACCTCCAGAGAGAAACGTGCTCAGAGCCCGTCCAACCTGATGAAACATTTCAGAAGCACGAGTTTGGGTGGCAGCTCACGTCTTCCTGATGGGAGGGCAGCGCTGCCCTCGCCCACCTGCCGGCAAGCTCTGCTGAATGTGTTTGGAAAGCAAAGGAGGTGAACTGAGTAGATACTTACCTTCTTCTCGCTTCTCTTTTCAAGGGTTGTCTTTGTATCTGAAGCGTCTTCTGGAACATTATAAAAAAGTCACGAGCCGGACCCAGGAACTTCAGGTAACTTCCGGCTTCTGGAAAGTTCAGGCCGGCGCCTCCTCGGCGTTTACTCCGCGCTGTGCATGTTAACCCTGTTCACCTGTTAGCGGCTCAGTCCACACCCCCCCCAGGTGAACCCGTATCTCCATCTGCACGTGAAGGGATTCAGGCAGGCTGGCTGGGGTGGCCCAGGACGGCAAGGGCAGGATGCTGGCTTCCCTCCATCAAAACCCCGAAAGGCTTCAAAGCCATCAGATCTTGAACATTATGCTTATCCAATGCAGTGGAAGAGGTGTAGCTGGCCAGAGTCCGGGCAGCAGAATTACCAAAAGTTACAGACTGTCAACATTTTAGAGGCCACGTGATCCTCCGGGATTGTATCGCCCTGACGGTGTTATCATCTGTTCACAGCCCTCACCTGGTTTCTGCACGCACTAACAGCTTAGATCCGGGTCAGCAGGCTTTCTCCACAAAGAGCCAGATGGCATCGACTTTGAGTTTTTGCAGGTCTTGCAGTCTCTGCCGTGGCTGCTTAGCTCTATCGTTGGACTGTGAAGGCAGTCATAGGCAGTCCACAATGAGCAAGGAGGTGTTCCAATAAAACTTTATTTACAAAAAGCAGGCAGAGGGCCAGATTTGGCCCATAGACCATAGTTTGCTAGCCGTGGTTTAGAACGCAGGCTCTAGAGTCAAATGGACCAGCGTTTGAATCCCTGCTCATGTGGTTAACTAGTAAACCGGGAGATTCCTTCATCTCGCTTTCCTGTTTCCTCCTCTGCAAAGCAGAGATGACAGGAGAAGTGACAGCCCTTTCAATGAATGGCTAGCAGGTGCCCAGCTTTTCATGTTTCTCATCTCATCTGCTCCTCGCATCCACCCAATGCAGGAAGCACCATTGCTATCCCCACTGTACAGACAGGGAAACTGAGGCGTCTGTAGCTTCTCACTTGCCCAAGGTCACTCACCCAGGAGAGCTGCCGGTCAGAGCCCCAGGTTCTACCGCTGGCCTGGCCCAGAGTCAGATTCCTGCCATAGTAACCAGGACTGTTAAACAACCGTCATTGACTTTCAGGCTTTGGAGGGGAAATTTACTGAAGAGAAAAACAGAGCAAAAGAAGCGTTAGAGGAAGAGCAGAGCAAAGTCCGAGAGCTGGAGGAGCGCTTAAGCCACCAGAGGAAGGTATACAGCTCGAGGAGACGGAGTCTGTGTGGGCCCCAATCCAGGCCGCGCAACGAGCAAGGGCTGGCCCGGGGCCTGATCGGGGCCTGCCGCCTCCAGTCCCCGGGTCTCCGCGGCCACCGCCTCCCTGCGGCGTTGTGAGTTGTGGAGCCCAACCGACGCAGCGCCTGGCACCGAGGCCAGATCCCTGCCATGGTAACCAGGTCTACTAACCAGCGCTCATTGGCTTGCAGGCTTTGGAGGAAAGCTTTATGCAAGAGAAGAGCCGAGTGAAGGAAGCACTGGAGGAAGAAGAGAGGAAAGTCCACAAGCTGGAGAATCGCCTGGCCCGCCAGAAGGAGGTAGGCAGCTCGGGGACACAGCCTGCTGCAGCCCTGACCCGCCCAGGGGTCATGGCAGTACGTTCAGAAGCACAGAGGATGGTGGGTGCAGTGGGTGCGGCTCTCCCAGAGTAATTCGTCCTCAGGAGGGCTCAGCTGCTTTGGGAAGAGGCCTGAGGGACTCTAGGAGAGAACCATAGAGTCGTAGCCTCGACGGCCAGTTGGGAAGTTAGAAACAGCATAAAATACAGCCCCAGGTAGGGATTGGGAGAGACGTTGGGACTGGGACACGGGCATCTACTATGTGGAGATTTGGAACCCAAAGCCCAGAGCTGGAGGAATCACAGAGCTCTGGACTTCGGGGCTGGGTGGATCCTTGAGCAACTTCCTAACGTCGCCCAGCCTCCCTCTCCACCACCGGGGAATCACCCAGCCCAGGGCAGCCCACCAGGATCGGCAAGTTGCATTATTAACGGGATTCTCCTTCTTATTCGATGCCTGGCACCGAAATAATTCAGGCCGGGCTCCCTGCCCCCTTGCTGCCTACCGAGGCCTGCATGCAGGTGGCTCTTTCCTCAGCGCAGGGTTCCGATCCCCGCCCACCACCAACAAACTGTGTGGCCCTGGGGCTCACACCCACTTCCTGTTCCTCGGTTTCCTCATCTAGGAAACGGGGCGCTAACTTCTCTGACAGGGTTGCTGGGAGAGTGGGAAGTGCTGGCCGGGGACCCTAGCCTGTAAGACCACTCTAGCCCTTGAGCTGGCTTCGTTATTCTTAGCATCATCAGAATGAGTTTCTCCGGCACATTACCGGTTATCGGTTTGCAGGTTTTGGAGAGCAGCGTGGCCCATGAGAAGAAAGCAAAGGAGGCGTTAGAGACCGAAAAGAGGAGAGTGCAAGATCTGGAGAACCACCTCACCCAGCAGAAGGAGGTACGGGAGCAGGTGTCAGTGGCTGCGGCAGCCGGGAGGAGCCCAAAGCCAGGCGCAAGGCTGTCTCTGTGCCTGCCAGCGTGTGTGGGCACGGGGGCAGATGTGGGCAGCGCCAGCCAAAGTGGCCAATGTCACCTGACACAGCTTCCCAGCTGCATGACCTGGGGCAGACCACTGAACCGCCTGTGCCTGTTTCCTCATCGGTAAAACGGGAGTGGTGACAGACCTGCCTCAGAGGTTCCGTGAGTTCATAGACGTGAAGTACTTGGAGACGCATGTCACACACAGGTGACTGCCCAGGGAAGAGAGAGGATGAGCCGGGGTGGAGTCGGGGTCAGGCCCTCAGCCAGCTCCCCCTCCTCATCACCGAAAGGCATTTATGATGCAATCCAGCAGGGACCGGGAGGAATACACTCCAACTCGCAGTCAG